ATGTCTTCTCTAATTGATTGCTCGGGGTCCCGAGCAATCAATGGTGAGTTGTCGGGACGCCGACGGTACAATATGCTCCTTTCGGGAAGGATGCAATAAATGCTCTGTAATAGGAGCATTTATTGCCTTTCATATCCGCACCTTACCGCATTAAATGCGGTCTCGTCAACAGAAGGGTGTAATTAATTGTTTGCTTTCCCAAGTCGCGTGTCAGCAGCGGCATGCGGTTTGTCTGCTTCGGATGTGACATTATTTGCCACGCGTCCATCCCTTATTGGCTGTTACGTCGGTATTCCAGCACGTTCTGACATTACTTGTGTAAGAAGAGGTCATGATGACTAATCCATACTGGCATAGGCTGATGTCCAGTATGTCAGTAGCCTTATCCGGGAGTAGAGGAAGCGTCCAGGATGGAGTGACCCTCGGCGCCGAGGAAAGGCTCACCTCGGGACCAAGGGGGTGGTGTGTCCCCGAGGTACACGTGTGACCGAGGACACGTGTTTGTTGTATAACATACCGAATGTGTGATCCTATATGAGAGGTACCTCGGGGTAAAGGACGCTCTTCGCCGATGGTGCTTACATCCAGGCAACACTGTTCTAAATATCCCGAGGACACGTGTCATCATCTTAGGGCTTTTCAGAAGAGTCCCATCAGTTTACATGTGTTCGATAACATGGTTGCGTAATTACAGGTCAAACTTGGAAACCAATAAATATATACATGGATCATGTTTAACTTAAATTTTGTCGATATATGTCGTTTCCAATTACCCCTACCTCACATACCCGACTCAACATTCTTGAAAAACAATCGAATCGATGGTTCGAAAAAAAATTGGTCATTTAATCTTATAAACTTATCAAGATCAAAATTGGAGAAAGATATATGAACATCAAAAAATAATCGGCTCAGCTTACGTGTACCTTAACTAATTTTCTTTTTGGTTCGGTTAAAGGTAGGTCATTCACGCCGAGACTACGATATTTATGAGGAATAAATCCCTCATAAACTGACTTCAAAAAATTACCAAAATTCGAATTCAAAATTTTCGGTTGCTTTTACAAAACTTCCTTCTTGGATCATCAAATTATCACCCATTAATACAACACCAACATTATTTGATTCCAAATTAAAGCGATGTCCATGGTACTCTCTTCCAATTCTACTAATTCACCTGTCATTACTTCATCACGACTATAAATACGAGCAATTCCATCACTTGAAGTACGGTAACGGTAACGGTATTTACAATAATTATTTCTCTATTATATTGTTCAACACGTCACGGATATAAATTTACAACTCGTTACTGTTACCACTCGAACTACCCATTGGGGTTAAAATTGAATAGATTTAAAAATGAACCATTGGAACTTAAATCAACAAAAATTAAAACTGAAAGGATCTAAATTCTAAAGATTAAAGCTCATTTGGACAGTAGTTGGTATAATCGTATCTCATCAAAGAATGCATGTTTTTATTTCAATAATTTCCAAGAAAAGGAACGAATACTAAAAAATATATTGAAAATAACTGCATCAAATTTCCATGCAGGTATACATATATGCTTGAATGATTTGATCAAGATACAAAGAAATATATCTACTACAGAATATCATGATTTTATATTGGTTAAATATGAGACTAGATACGTGTATATAGATTCTTCGAGACTCTTTCATTGCAAGACGATACTTAATAACAAATTCTACCATTGGTTCATAACAGAAAGTCGAAAATAAAGACTTCAAAAGTAAACAATGAAAGTAGAAGCGTCTTGAGTGGTGGCGGAAGTGGCGGCGGAACGAAGAGTCCTCAGAAACGGAACAGTTATATGCCTTGGAAGGAATAGCTGCTCTCTCACCCTTGTCATCACCACCCTGTATTCCTCCAACAGCTCTACCATCATCCCCACGTTCATCATCTTCTCTCTGTGTCTGCGTGCGTATATGCCTCTGAAAGTACCCTTCAGCTTCAAGCTATCTCTACGTGGTCCTCCTTGTGGAAAGAGTTTGGCAATGAAGGGAGTTTGAGGGTGTGGTGGTGGCGTAACTCAACGAAATTTATAGGCCAATGTTCAAATGAGACTTGACTTGCTTTTCTGCTACATTCCAATCTTCCATATGGACTGCCCAACTATGACCGCATGTTAGTTATATTTTTTTTGATATTGGTGGTCCAAATTTGTACCGAATATTTTTTTGAGATCAGGACTTCCTGCAGTTTTTTTTTTTTTTTGGAAAATGCCATTTGGACCTTATTTGAGGATTTAATTTACAGAGCTAATGATGTACAACTATTGGATTGGTTGTGGGTTTCATCTAACATTAGAACTCACAACTAATTTAATAATTGTATTAAAATCATGTCATTAGGTCCTTAAATAAGGTCCTCAAGCTCTTTTTTTTTTTTTGTCATGTAAAATAGGGATAGGGGCAAAGGAGAGCAAACCCTTACTAGTAGGATCATGAAGCATTTGACCGTGCCTATTACTCCTCTTAAGAATGAACATAATTAGACTAATAGAGTGGTCAACTATCAAGTTTTAATATAGACTCTAACCTCTAATCTCAAAATAAAAAATTTAGTCAATACTTTATCAGACCACCCTATAAAGTGGTGATTACCACCATGAATCAGATTAGAAGATGACTTTGAAAAATAAGAGTAGTTGGGAAAGGGTTGCGTTATGTTAGTTAGATTATGGTATTACAGTGAGTCGATGATTTTTTTGTTTTGGATTTGTTTTAGATTGTGATCCTTAAGCTTACGCGTAATATGTAATCATTACTCATTTAATTTTAGGTATAAATTACAATTTTCACCCTAACTATGTACCTAATTTTAATTTGACCCTTAAAATTTCAATTGCAACAATCAAGTCTTTACATCAAAATTCACCGATTTATTGTGATGGAATAATTTTTTGTGACGGAATAATTTTTTGTGACTATCATATGATGGGGGTAAAAGCGTATATTTATCTTGTGAGAAATTTGTTACGTATAGGTTAGAAAACTTTAGTTTATTTTATATGATTTTAAAGAAAAAATAATAATGAAATAAAGAGAGAAATATCGATATATTTGAGTGCGATAACTATAACCTTATAGGCAAATTCTTCAGCAGAACTATGGGCTTCCCATGGTTCCATCGTCTAACCTAAGCAAAGAGGCTAGTTAATGCGTTAGTGTGAAAGGAAAACCAAACAATAAAATAATCAATATTAACCACATAGTCCAAGGAAATAAATAAAAAGTGAGAGAAGAGTGTGTACACCATAAAATGATCTTTGCTTTGAGCTGTTAGCTGATGGCGTTTTATCTATAGTCAAAACTATAACCATCATGGCAAAGGAACATCCATTGCACATTTAAGAATAATGTTGAGCATGCATACTGTGAAAACACAATTATATTGATACAATTATCCAATGTAGTGTTTAGACTCGATCAAATCACTAATTAAAAGTAATCATCAATCACAAATTTTCAACTTAAACTTAATCACCTACACCGAACAATGACATGGACACCAAGTCCAAGTCTAAGTCTTTAACTTTCTCCTGCTTGCAGCTCATATTCTGCTCCCTCGATCGTAGATCTCGTTCGACTGCGACACTCGTTTGATCTATCATCACCTCCGATCCTATGCAATGAAAGTTAGTGAAAACTAGTTCACAAATAATACTTACTTTGTACTAAAATATGCACTTATAAAATATAATGACCACCTTATTTCAGTTCATCAATAATTAGAAACAAAGGAAACATCCCCCAAACCAACACCACAATAAAAATTAATTGATACTAAACGGAGAATAACAATTAAGCATCAAAAGACCTAATCATCAGAAGCTTTTACGCACGACCAAACTATGCATTCTTCTTCATGTCTTGCTTTTAAAAAAATCTTAATCCGTCTAGACCAAGTAGAATGAAGCAAGCCAAGACCAAACGAAACGGAATGATGCCTTTTCTAATTCGCTATGCATCAAAGGTCCAAACAGAGGAAGGGCGTCCATGTCAGTTCACAATGCGAGAACTTACGGGAGGCCCGCCAGATCCAATTCGGGCAACCAAACCGGTTTTGACAAATGGGAAAGTTTCTTTTTTTGGGGGTAAAGTGGGATAAGTATAGGAGATGCCAAGTTTGTCAAGCTCACAGTCACTCCCAATAAGAGCACTGGTCTGGTGTTTCTTCGAATCGAAGTTCAGGTTTTACATGAATTTTCCTTCTTATCGAGACTAACCAATCTTTTTCTTTGTTGGCTGAGCTTAGAATCGTAGTTGCCCCGCATTGGCAGTGGGAAGTTACCCATAGAAGCTGCGAGGGATGTATATGTGTACTTTACCATATACATGAAGAGTTTTATTTATAATACATGAGAGAAGTAAAGTTTCTTAATCTAACTGATATACATATAATCATTAAAATTAACATTATCATTAATATAAGCAAAACGAGCACAAATTTGGCAATCAGAGAAATACCCATCTTCTGTAATTCACGGAGACACTTCAGAAAACAAAAGCATCAACTTGTTTAAGGTAACCTACAACAATAAGAACAACAAAATTCAACGTTGTACCGAGAGATTGAAGTGGGGGATTTGGCAACATCGCTAGCACTCTCTCAAGGCCACTGGCGACCAAATGAAAATATTCTAAGCCACCCTCTACATATTCCTCGTCCAATTGAGAGGTCACAAGCAGCCACTTTTGTTCTGAGCGCTCTCATTTGGGTTTTAAATTAACCATGAAAAAGGGAAGGGTTATTTTGAAGTCATGACCTAAAACCTTCTATTTCTTTTAACATAATATACTATACACAGACATCAGGTAAGTGTTATTGTACATTACATAATCAGACTCCAAAATTTAACCCAAGTCCCCTTCGTAAGCTGATAGATACGCATATAATATCAACAGACCCAACAATGTATCCGTGTTAGCCTAATCTCCAATAAAAACATTAATCAGGGTTTACATATACACAAAAAAAAAAAAAAAACTCTCTTTCTCTAAGCAACTTCAAATTCTAAATGATCCCCATGTGCCAATGAAGGCTATGAACAAAACCAAAGCCAAAAGTACCCTAGGCATATACAGAGATGATAAAATTGAGTGGAATGCTGCAGTCTTCGAGTACACAGAGGGAACCTTTTTGCGGCCGCTTGTTGGAAAATCACCTTCAGACTTCACATTTGTGCTTAAATCCTGGGCAACCTTCTTACCATCGTTATTCGATTCAGACAGGAATATATCCTCAGTCTCATCTGTGATAGCAGAAGCACTAGCGGTAGCAGAAGTAGGCTTCTCGGTAGCTTCTTCATCCTGCACATGCCAATTCCATGGATGTCACAATCCAAGAAGCAGCATTATGAAAGTTGGTAAGCATCACCATGAAAAAATCTCACCTCAGCCCCTGGTGGTTTTACTTCAGGCCTTTCTTCACAGGAACTCAAATCCCTAGGCAGACTGCATTGAACTGGTCCAACTTGAAGTTTCATCTGAAAACGAATTCTTCTTCGAGCAGTTCCATGAGTTGCAAAGTCCTGTGAACTTGGTTGAGCTTGTGGCTGGCGAGTCCTCCTCTTAATGCCAGTTTCAAATGTATCGTCACTGCAGACTGTGTAGCTCTGACTGCTTGGTTCTCCAATATTGACCAAACTGGAGATTTGATCGCCAGAAGATACACCAGAGAAAGAATTTGCCTCAGAAATATAATTGTGTGGCAGGAAACTAATGTTTCTGATGTGATCATCATTCAATATATCTTGTGCCCAGTAAGGTCCCGAAGCTGTATCTATCTGTGAAATAACCTCCCGCTCAACATTTTCTGCTTGCAACTCAGCGTTATAAAAGCCTGGCTCAATCTGAAGTACAAAAAAGCAACACAAGGTTAACTCTCTTAAAATAAGATCTCTCCAAATGTATTGAAATTTATGGCATTTAGCTGCACATGAACACAAATCAAATGTGGCAGTGACCTTGCAAAAAACATAAGCCTCTAACCTCCATTACCTGTCCTTCCGCGTCAGAGTTGCTGCATGATCCACTGTGCTTAATTGAACCATCCTCTAATCTGTTAATGTTCTTGGAGGTCTCAGTTTCAACAGTTGAAATCCTATTACTGCCAGCATCTCCACCGAAATGCTCGTCTGAGCAAAGTAGGGCTGAGTTCAAGAACTCGTTAATATCATCTAGTGTATTTGCGCCGTCTAGAAACTGCATCAAGTTATTGTTATTGCCAACGTCACCAGTAAACAGACCATCTAAGTCAGAAGATCCATGCTCCACCTGCATCTGCGTGGGAATTGGGAAAAAGATTGGTTCTGGCGTAGGGTAAAAATCTTCCAACAATTTTTCCAGCTCCGTGTCCGGCTAAAGTAAGAAACAGGAAAGAATAATCAAGTCAAACTACGAAAAAACATAGTTTGACAAATAAAACTAGAATGTAGTTCCTCTTCTCACCGGGAGGGATGTTGTGTCTAACACGGGGTATGCTGCATCATCAGCACTATTACTTTGCCATTCAATAGGTAAAGAAGCATCCGGTATTGTATTTTCAATGATTGAAGGATGCTTTTCAGCTTCTCTACCCGGCACTGGAGTCACTGGCTCTGGGTGTATATCTCCAGGGGGAGATATAACTACTGAAGGAGAAGAAACAATCTGTTCAACGTCCTCACAGTTGGAATCTTCAACAGTTTCGTCTGTCTTCTTAAATAGACGACAGAGTACAAATGCACCCTGCAGAAGCAAATAAAATGCCAAAACGATTAAACATTGAACATCATTGCCCTACAAAAAGCTACAAACAGAGTGTCATCATCTTAGGCATAGAATAATTCTCATAAAAAATAAGACCATGGAAGAAATCAGCATCTCCACGACTTACAAGGGAAACCACTTCATAGTACAAATGATTTTCAAAGCATACACAAATTCAGAATCTATAAAAGAAACTAAATTGCTAATTTAGAAGGTCAATCATGAGTGATTTTATAATTTTAGAAGGATAATCATAGTAATCACTAAATCCAAAAAACAAAAAACAAAAAAAAACTATATCAGAATATGTTAAAAGTTGCTAGTATTCCCATTACAATTAGAGGCAATGTAGAGCAGTCCAAAATCGACTAAATGCAAGCCCATACAACTTGCAAAAGTTCACATCTGAGTGTCCTAAAAGCCGTGGAAGCAGATTTTGCATCGCGTGATCAACCCAAATCCATCATTCATTTTTCCAGCATCAAATGACTCTCATATAGTCATATGGTCAGTTAGAAGGGATGGATTTGGGGGAATTCAACTACCCAAGGCTTCTATACAATTCGAACCGTCAGAATTGAAGCCTGGCCTGTTTTTTTATATTATAGATTATAGATGTACAGAATTCTGTCTCTAAATGCCTAAAAACAAATCAGGTACTGAACTAAGTCAAAAAAATCCAAAAATAAAAAAAATTAAGTGTCCGAACTTAATAACACAAGATTATAAAAGTTAATTGAACCTGTCCAGGGTGGGTGCCATCGAGTGCCTTATCAGTGGCACGGTATTCGTGCATTACCCAATTAGTCCTCTTTCCGTTGGGAGCACGCCCAGTGTAGAAGACCAGAGTTTTCTTCAAGCCAATCTTCACTCTACCAGACTTGATTACCCTGTCTTTACCAGTCGCCTTCCAGAACCCTGCCACCGTGGCTCTGTTCAATCTCCGTCCATTCTGATGCTTCCTATCCTTCGGACAGAAGAAGAACCACTCATTATCGATCGTTTCTACTATCGACTTATCTGCATTCAGAAAATTGAAATAAGTATTTTGACTTTAATCTATTCCAACAACAATTACCCCTCAACTCGCTTAGAAATCATGATCGAGTACTTAATTACACCAACATCAATCTATAGGTAACATAATAAATTCTAGGCAACTATAATTTTATCGAATCATTACTGGTTGGTGAAGAAACCTAAGGATCGGATTCTGGAAGGAAAGAGCAGTATATTTACCAGGTAAGTCCCAAGGTTCACATTTACAGACATCAACCTCACGGATAACGCTGTCTGCATTCTCATAACCGTTGATCTTCAGTCGTAAAAAGTGATTGATGAGTTCTTCGTCTTTAGGACTGAATCGGTAACCCACCGGCAATTCGTTTAAAGGCGGCACAGGCACAGCCATCTATCAACCAATAAAAACTAAGAGAGAGAGAGAGAGACGTGTAAACACACCAGCTCTAGTTATAGTGTAAAAATACAAATAAGGTCAATAGTACGTCAAAAACCCTAGGAATTGCAGAGGGAGAGATTCTGGGAAAATTCAATGGGTTGGAAACATCAGAGACTGTGTCTGTGTGTGTGTGAGAGAGAGAGAGAGAGAGAGAGAGAGAGAGAGGAGGAAAATGTTTGCTGCGTTGCAAGACTTGATAGAGGGAATTGGAACTACAACGAAAGGCCCCGCGCTTTTATTCAGTGTATATACCGCGTAGGATGTTCAGTCATAGACTTTTACGTAATTTCGCAATTGCCATTGTCCTCTCCAAAACCCGATTATACCCCTTAGGGGCTTTGAGTGAAAAATGAGGAACCTACAATGATAACACACAAAAATGTAGGGGTAAAGTGGAGAATGAGTATAAGGGTCGTGAAGGACAGTAAAGGAATAATAGTCAGATGGCCATTAAAAAGGAGAAAATATGTAATATAACAAGGATACTATATAATTACATTAATAGCGAATCATCATTTAATAAAAAAATAATAAGCGAGTAAGTGGATGTCACACAAGTGCCAAAGAGGGACTTAGTTAAAATGTGTATAAATTGTTCGAACATTTTTTACCATTGAATTAAAAATAAAAATAAAAAAGAAGTACTCCTTTTACACAATATACTAACTACTCGCGTGAGAAAGTGGGATTCACTTTGACAATAATGATATGTTATTACCGTTTAATTAAGCATTTTCTCTCACTTATGATGACATATATGCTTAAGGGGGTTTTCTTATTTTTACATTTCTTGCCATAAAAACCTACTTTTCCATCCCAATAAAATCATTTATTTATTAAAATGTAATATTAAATTAATAAAAAAAATTAGATTAAAAATTGAGAATGAATAATGTTGAAAGATAGTTTCTAAAATGATAAGACATGACTCAAATAAAAAGAATAAAAATGGTGCAAAGGATAAGACAAATGAGAAGGAGCAAGGAAATTTACAAAATACCAACCATAGGACCAAGCAAACATTTTCCACTTCTTTTTTTTCTCTTCTTTTCATTTTTCTGGTCAGCGGGAGCTCCTTCACTTTGGAAGCTATTTGATGTTGACATATGGCTAAATCCAGAGTCGAGGTTGAGGTTAAATATTTTTACCAATATTTATATAAAGAGGAGATGCGTAAAGTTCAAACTCGCGACTCTTAGTAAATATTTTTACCAGTATTTATATAGAGAGGAGATGGGTAAAGTTTGAATTCGCGACTCTTAGATCCAACGGCAAGATAGTTGATCATTCAGCGACTATAGAATCCAAGGTTGTGATTGACTGGTTGATGCAAATTGGTCATTCCTAAGGCATTGTTATCTACAAAAATAACAAAATAAAGTGGTAGACCTAATTCTGTGTCTATTGACACATCTGGTTTGTGGTTATCTTCTAAGAAATAATTTAATCACCGAGCTTGGAATATCCCTTGGCATATAGAATCATCATTATAATTTTGATAAATTTTAGCCATCTTTTTTTGAGTTTTTTAAGTTATATAATATTAATCAATTAAGACTAGGGAACTTGACCGTCGTTCATCTTCTCCAGGTTGAAGATTAATTTATTATAATTCTTCAATTTGAATACTTTGTCGTATTTCTCTTTCAAACTTATCTTCACTTTTATATGTAAATGTGTTTATTTTTGCTACAAATACATATTTTTTTAAGTTGTTATATATAGTTGATTAATAATTATAAAAGTAATATACAAATGTATATATAAAAATTAATAGAATATTTCTCTAATGAAGTATTTATTTTTATTTTTTTATTTTTTTATTTTTTATTTTTTTATTTTTTTTGTTGTTGTTCACTGTTACAATACTAAAGGAAGCAGCATTGCTACAGTGCATGATGGTGTGAACACGAAGAAGAAAGATGTGGAAAAGTCGGGTCCGTCTACTGGGAAAAAAAGCCAAGTGGATCATCATCAAGATTCTTTTAGTACATTATAGATGTGGACGTCTAACGATATTAAAGAAATGGCGGGGATGGCATAAACGAATGGGGACCACAATCAGGGGCAGAGCCACAGTGGGACACTGGGGGCAGCTGCCGCCACTGTAATTTTTTAAAAATTTGGGATGTAATTAGTATTTTTAAAATTTTAGAATCTTGCCCTTATTACAATATTGTTAAAGATTTAGGGATACTTATGTATTTTTTGTGGGGGTTTTCACAAATTTGATAGACTTGTACGTTGTTTAGAGTTCATGTGTTGGCATCTATGTATTTGGGGATACAGAGCGAAATGAAACATCAAAAATATATATTTGTTCCCACTCCAACAAAATTTGACCCAAAAAAAAAAGGTCTCAAAAAAAAATATAAAGTGATTCTAATGATTTCAAATGAAATAAACATTTAATTAAAATTCCAACATATTTATATTTATTTTGGGTCACACTTGATCTCTATAGGCCAATGGCATCCAATTTTCTTTATTTTGATAATTTTAATTAAGTATTATAGTGCTCACAATTTTAATATGGCTCATGAAAATGTTACAAAATTAACTCAGAATTAGGGAAGTTTAACTTTAGTATGTTTGAGTGATAACGTATAGACCATTAAATCTTCCAAATAAACGATTTGACATAAACTTAGAAAAATGCAACTCGTTCTTATTAAACATAACTGATATACAGTGCAAACCCAATAAGATATGAGCATAACTATACAAGATTGTAAATATTATTTTTTCAATTTTTTTCTATTTTTGTATCCCCTTTTGTCAATTTGTTTTTGAATTCAATTAGCGTTTGTCTAGTACATTGAGTGAATAGCTGTAAAGAAAATGAGAAATTTTATCAGAACTATTGCGAGACATATCGCATAAACAAATTCTTTGATTTCAATAATTTTTGCAAATTTTTTTGATTTACTTAGTACTATAATTAGGGTTATTTTATTATTATTATTATTTCTTTTGCCTGACAGTTGACAATAGAACTATGATCATTTGGATTTGATTTAAAAGATAATGACTTTGATCGCGTATCAATCTCTTTGAAATATTATGTACAATAACTGATCTCTTAAAAAATTAGATAATAATGAAAGTTCAATTTTGGGAATTTTTTTTTCTAATTTTTTGGCTTTAGTTATTATGATTTTCTATTATTGATTCCCATTTATTTATTTTTGCGATAGTAGGTGATAGAGCTTTGATTATTTAAATTTAAATTAAAAATATTATGGGTCCAATTGGTTATATATTGAACTATTTGAAATATTTTTAGTGCACGATCTTTAAAAATTTTGATGGTACGGAAAAAATTAAAGTAGTTGATTTATTTAGAAGGTCTTTAATTGGTAGTGAAATTATAAATATAAAAAAGAATTATAAATAATTATGTTTGCAAAAATAATATCAACAGAATAATCTTACTTTGCCTAAGTGAATATTCAATCAATTTTGAGTAGTTTATTTCATTTTTATGGCGTTATGCTTAAATTTTGATTCTTTTTCCATTTTTTATAATACTTTAAGATCAACAGAAAATGAAAAGAAAAAAGTATATTGATTGCGATCGTTAACTTCAACTATCACTTTTCCTTTGCCCAAGGAATTTCTTATATTAAACAAATATTGAATACTAGTCACTTGGTGTCATCTAAATTAGTGGGTGTCCTCATCAACTAGGTACACACTAGATTATTCCAGAACTTTCAATTTCTTTAAACAGTCATCATCCATTATAAAACTTGGTCAATTTTTTTAAGTACAGTCACTATATTTTAGCTCTCAATTATATACTTGCATGGCAATTGTCGATTCTCTAGTAGCTCTAAAAGCGATACCAATCTCTTACGGTCATGAACTCACATGTTTTAAATTTGGGTATTGACAATTCATTCAATTCAGGTTATCAATACTCTAATTCTAACACAGATGATCTGTCTTTGATTAGATAAAAAAGAGATTAATCAAATTGTATGTCTTGACCGTTAAACTTAAAAAAATATCAACATTTGTACGAGACCCACTTTAAAGAGATGTCACTAGTTGTTTCCTCCCCCTTTTGTCAACCAAAGGACCGTAACAACACAATGACTTAACCGAACTAAGGAAATGCGCATATAGGATAGGATCACCTAAAAATGCCATAGCATCTGTTAGAATGTTGGGTTTAGGGTGTGGGTTTGCTTCGTCCCCATCCTGTATTAATGGTCGTTTTTGGGAGGCTTATTAAGCTTCAGAAACTGAATTATCAAACACCAGCTAGCTTATTATGTTTCGTCGGCCACTAAATCTGTCATGAATCATCTCCTATCCTGCATTATGTCGTGCATCAGAGTGTTTTTATTAGCTCATGATATGGCCCAGACCTTAGGGTTCTATGGTTGTGAGCATTTGAGAAGATTATATACATAAACACATCATGTTCACCATTCCAAAAACGTGAGACTGAACGTTCAGAAATACAACGAACTCTTCAAAGGAAAAGCTTATTCTATTACCGAAGGGGATTGCGACTAAGCTCCATAGTACAATGTCTACAATTTTTTAGTCCTCTGTGTTCCCTTTCACTTTTTTACTTTATACTCCTTTTCTAAGGCAGAAGCCTAAAAACAAGACAGGTTAAATGAGATAGCCACACCAACTGCATCGTCTGCTGACAGTTATCGGTTGAGAGGCCGAGCTTCCGTCTAGGTGCTGCAAAGAAGTAGGCTATCAACTCCCATTGTAGCAAGGTGGAAGAATAACCATTCACATCTGCATTAGGATAAAAAAATGTTCTTCACCGCTGCTTGTGAATGGAATAGTCCATCAACCAAATTTCGAATCTTTCACCAATCACTGGCTTTCCTTGTTTCTTCTTTTATAAATGCTGCATCCAAGTGATGGGCACCCAAGAAAGGAATGTCAGGCCATCAACCGAGAACATGGCATTCTAACAGGTGAAAACACCACGGTAAGACGGGCATGATCTGAAAGAGAATAATCTTCTGGCCACATTCCTTTCTCTACTTCCGTGGGGAAGAGAACTGCATTCTTCACACCAAAACCAATGGTTTGCTCAGTACCGTGAACATCATCTTTCCAAACCTCATGGCTTATTTCGTCTCTTTGCTCTGACCATGTAGGATTCCAAATTCGTTGCTGTAATGCCATTACTAGATAACATCAGAGTTACATCTAACATCTGTCTATGTAGTCCTTTTAATATTTTTGCACGTGTTAATGTGGTTTTCTTGTGGCACCAAAAAATTGCAGAGGACAAGATCCGATAACAAAAAAAAAGTATCCTCTCTTACCAAAATGGGACACCGTCTACAGTCAAAAGTGCATTTACTAAAGCAATCACAGATTAAATTGCTCACACTCTAAACCTCCAACGTCCTGGGCTGCCAATACAAAATATCAGAGAGCCTGCAGACTAATCTTTGCTCCCCCCCCCCCCAATACCAACTGTGTGGAGTCAAATTATCTATATGCAATTACCATGTACCAAAAAGCAATTTGGATTATGAAAGGTGATTACACAGTGATACCGCATAACAGAATGCAAATTAAACAAAACTTACTATAACAGTTAAGTTACCTGAAATTCTTTATAGTCAAGAACCCCATTTCCATCAATATCTGTTTGCACCCACAAGTCTTTGGTCTCTTCAACACTTAGTCCATATGGATGGCCGATTAAATGAAGCTGTAGGATTACAGAACATTATTTGGTTTACATCCACACTGCTGGGGACGCCTTGATTTTGTCTAGCCTATATATATGGAAGATCATAAATGAACCATACCTGGCGTAATGCTTCACAAAAGGCAGAGTAAGTAATGTAGTCTCCATGGCTATCAGCCTTCAAAAAGGCAAATGCGTCATTCTCTGTCAGGGAGGCTTGCCGAAGTTGATACTGAAATAAAAAGGTTCAATCATTAAAGACAAAAGGCTGAAGATGATATTTGGTTATTCTCAAAAAGTATATTGGAAAGTGTAGCATCAATACCATATATCTACATATCTCTTATTATTCAATGCAACTATTTTTACGAACTTAATAGAAAGAATCACAAACAATAACAATTGTGTGCATATACAATACATGCACTTTTTCACTGGGATTATCTTCAGCAAATTCCAAACTTAAAAGAAATCTCACAATTTAAAAAAGAAAGAAAGAAAGAAAAAAAACTACTTGGATGTACCAGTTTAACACCTTCCTAATTTTTTGCTTTCAATTCGAGGTCATATAAAAACATGAACGAAAAAGTGACTTTAACATGAGAACTGCTACTTCTCCACCACCATAATCAAAGAAGGTAGAATAAAAGAAAGAAGATTGACAAAGTGGTTGAGCAGCCAGACAGACAGATCATCTGTGCTGAAGTAGTTCCACGAGAATTAACCCTTTATGCTGACCACTTCTACAAAAATTCGTTTTAGTGACAGTTCTAGGAATTAGACCCATAAGAACTCAAGGTCATGGGTTCAAGGACTAATATCAAGACTCCAAAAACTAACCTTAGACTACCTTGGATTAAATTTCCTGCAGAAAACCAGATGAGTAAGCCTAGAACTTCTGTAAACAAGTGGTATAATTTTTGGAAAGGGCGCCATCACCACGACTGATGTTATATGATCAATTCTGTCATGTCCTGAAAGTATGCTCGTTCTACTCTATTTGGTCATCGCATGAAAGGACTGTTCCCTATTCTAATTTTTGGGCCCGTCTTTGAATATGGCCATGTGCCTTCAAATGCTAGGCATGGTTCCATGCAGCGAATCATATCTATAACACCTCCAATATGCAATGAGAAATGTGGCATGAAATGAAATTTCAAACAGATATATTAATTTCCACAAATTTAAAACATGGATTGTTACCAAAATCGTGTCCAGAATTTAGACTAGCATGTAGTGTAAAGGATATCAGTTGAGCTTCTAAAAGACAAGTCCACAGATGAAGGTTTAAATTTTTTTAAAATGACTACAATTTCGAGATACCAATGCAGAAAAGGACAAAAGCATCACCAACAGAAAGGGCCATATACTCATTCAACCTGATTTATTGTCGACCATCTAAAAAATGTTTTTTCTTAATGTGACATAATATTAGACCAGAAGCTATCTGTATGGGTATTTAAACTAGAATCAAAATGATTTGATGAGAATAACAAATCTACCTTAACTGTAAGCATGTAGGAATGGGACCATGAGACCACATCTCAAACTGGCACACCTGCCAGCATTATGAAGCCATGAGGTATGTTGGATGACCTCAATTAGAGAAGACTAAAGAACGATTGTCTAAGGCTAAGTTAACTGAGACCAATTAGAAGGACTGCAATCATTCTTTACCTTCCCACCATCATTCAAGCATAAGTTAAATTACCTCAAATACAGTTATCTCAGGTTCTAAAATCTGCATCTAAATATCAATCAAAAGAACTGGATATCAGGTGTAAAAGGAAGAAAAGAGAAGGTAATTAGTCTCTCACCTTAAACATTCCAAATACTGCTTGGCTCCAACTTGTTTTCAGTAGTTTCCTATATCTATTAGGATTAAGAAGCCATATAAAATCTACGCCACAGATGTTCCCCCGATGATTACGGTGGCTAACCCACTGCATGGAAAAATAAGACATGAGAAACAAGTATAAGCTACAACATATGGTCTTTTGCCAAAATTGATTGAGATTGTCAATGAGAATGTGAGATTTTGACCTTGTGTGCATCTGCATCAGTATACTGATGGGCAGTATCATATGATGACACAAAACCCTGAGATCTAAGGAACTTGTAAACATGACCTCGCTTGCTTCCATTCCAGTCACTGAAAACGAAATAGAAATCCATAATATCACTTTGATATTAGCATAAGAGTTCTCAAACTGGAATGCAATAAATCATACACGTACCCACAGAGTATAATGGGCAATGGATTAAGCTGATTTTCTTTCTGATAAGATTCCACACACTGCAAGATTTTGTAGACCTGCAAAAGAAATATGAAATACTGGGTAACAATAGGTACACCAAATAATATGGCAATGATGAGAGAAGCTACAAAAAAGAAATTAACATACCTGACGCAATCGTTCCAAACACAAACTTGAATCATGAGGAAATAATAAGTGGGTGTTCACTATAAGGACTTCTTGCCGAACGTTGTTGTTTCGACACTGCAAAAAGGGTGCAACTAATTCAACATGTAATAGCTGAGCAACACGGTTTCCGAAATCATTGAAGAGCAACTCTTGATGGTTTACAACCCTGAAGTAGTCCTTATGCACGGAAGTTAGCAGACCTGTTGAATTTAGGAAGAAAACATATCAATACCTCTAGGGTAGTGAAAATAGAAAAATAAAAATTTACCCCCGTTAAATTACATCAAAAAATAATAGTCTTTGGAAATCATCACATGAAATTAAATGTCAAAAGGGCCACTCTACTGCTGAGTACGGAGTCTGGTAGGTGCAAAGGGGTTGCACTACCACCATTTTGTTACACAAGCTTTAATTTCCCCTTGCAATCACACACACAAAAAAAAAATATGTGCCTGCTCAACTCTCCCCCTCTTTCTAATTCCATATCTGGTTGTCCACATGATCAAACCACAAAACTGGGACACTTGGAATTGGACATACTTATACACAGAGAACTTCCGTAAACAAAATGATTCCTGAACAAGGAGAAACTTTTCAATCAACACATCTCATGCAGATCAAATAGGTACCCTTGGCATCAAAGGAAGGCCTACCAGAGTGAATTACAATAGTCAATGCTGTATTAAAGAATACAGGTGTGTGACTCTGTTTATCTATATATATAAAGAATCGAATTAAGATGTTCAGACTGAACGCTTGATCCAATAAAAATAACAGAGCATACCATCGCCTCGGTTATTGGTTCGCGCAAGTTTGAAATTGATATAACCAGCATCACCAAGTCTCTTGTTGTAAATATTAACAAGTTCTTCATTTCCAACCCAAAATTCCTGGAAAAATCCACATAACAAAAGGGTTTTTGCATATTAGTAAAAAACCAAAATGTCAGTTTGCATCCAAATTCGGTGAACAATGCATAACAGAAGAAATCGCCCGGTAAGGCAATGAATTGGCAAAACCTGAAGGCATATAATGGAAGATCTTTCGTTCAACAACCAATCCAATATCCTGTGGTTCCTGTTCAACCAATTCGCCCTGTAGTCGCTTTCCCGGCAACTTTGGTCCTGTCCTTTCGAAAATTGAATTCGTATAAATACCAAAACCTCATAAACTTAGATATCACAATATGATTTTGAATGGAGAAAAGTACTTTGTTATTGAGTCTCTTGTAAATGGGGGCGAGGATGTTAAAAGTGGTGCAGGAAATAGAGGTTGCGTCTTTAACGGAGGACGCAATGGCAAAGCTGCCGATTCTCGACACCCTCGCTTTCGTCATCCCTCCTCTATGCTTCCTTCCCATTCTAATTCCCTGTTGTATCAACGTATGTGTGTTTTGTGTATGCGTTAAAGGAATTTATCAATCTATATACGGAGACACGCACAATTAGAAACCTTAGATCAAGGAACAAGAAGGGACAATGTCCAGCAAAGACAAATTCAGAACAATCGAGAACGATGTCAAGAAATTCAATATTATCCTTAGGTGTTCTGAGTCGATGACCACGCTGAGCAATGCAGTCACAACGGTATACTATATATATGAATTCTGAGAAAGAGACGGGGAGAAGAGAGAGAGAGAATCAACTACGAAGAAAGAGAGGGAATGCCAATGAAGATGGAGAGAGAGCGGATTCTTTGTTGGATAATAAAAGGGGCGGCAGGGGGTGGGGGGGGATTGGTTTGGCAAAGGGGTCCACAATGAGCGTGCAGATTAAGCAATCCTGACCATCGCTGTTGTGCCTGCGTGGGTCTCTCGTCGTAACCTGGGGACCATTCGTTGCCACTTGATTAACTTGCGGTGCTAATCGTATACCTCTCTTGAAAATACACATACAGGGCAAATTTTCATTACTTTTTATATTCCCTATTAAAAAATTTATTTCATCCTATTAGATTTCTATTAATAAGAATAAGTCCTAATATGTTAATTTATGTCGAATTAGTACCACACTCAATTAATCAGGTTTTTATTCTGATTTTATGATATTTTATATTATAGTTAAATTATTTAAAATATCTATTTTTTGTTAAACTCTAAAACAATTTTTATTTTTTTGAAGAAAAGTTTTCTATTTTGGGTCGTACTTATAAATCATTTTAGCAAATAAAATTTATATGCAATTGAATAAAAAATTTAATTTTTGGGATAGGGGAACCATGATCGCTCTAAGACCCAACTTGCTCCGTTGTTGATTATTCTTATAGGTATGAATAATTATATTGAAGTTGAAAAAATAAATTAAGAGTAGCTCAAATGATAACAAAAATAATTTGTAAATATAAATGTCTTGAATTTGAATTTTAGTAATTTCTTAGGACCAAATCATGAGAGATTTATTTTTTATAAATATTTTAATTCTGACATAAATAACTTAATTTTAATCGAATCGATAAAAAAATTAATCAAAATAAACATAAATTAACCCAAGCATATGCTATAGAGAGCAAGTGGTTTTTGAGGAATATGTTCCCTGCAAGTTTGTGAAGTGGTTATATCCAATCCAATAAAGGTGGTATGGTTTTTGTGGGACCAAACTTTCCCTAAGTCCTCATCGTCATCGCCGAAAGTTCGAAAAGAGGTTTGAAACTTTGGATATACCACCACGACACCAGGTGAAAGATGTTAGTGATGGTTGTGATTATGATAAAAATAGTACATCACACTATCATCTTCCAATTGATAGCTAACTAGTACCTTACATCTGACCCACATCTTAAATAAATCGTTTATATAAACGTACCGAACACAATTCTTGTACAATATGAATTGCTTATACACAATTATGAATGTTTTCTAGTATAAGCTATCAAACACTTTTTATCAATAAAAAATTTGCTTGATTAATCTAATGTGATATGATCCATTAATAATCCTCCACGTGGCATTTCCATGGTGAGCTAGCAATGGTGGGAATCTTCCCCTCAGACCTATGGATGAATTAAAATTTATTTCCAGGAGTTCTATTTTTTAATTGTAGGAGTTCTGATTATCGTCGTGAAGAGTAATAAATTGCAATTATAGTATGGGCTAATGGATTTTCTTCATAATTCATTTGACTTTAAGGAACGAGTGCAGGTTTCTTTCCCTTTTGGTTTAATGGTTCTTTCAGCTTTAACATTTATAAATGGTGCATGAATGAGCTCCCTCTCTCTCGAAAATAATTTTTTTATTGTACACAATAGGTGTATTATTCTTCAAAACAATATTATTTCATATATAAAATAGCGTTGTTTTGAATAACAACATGTCTGATTTACGACGAAAAATTCAAACTCTCTCTCTCTCATTTTTTTATTTAATCGATGTAAGATTTTGTGAACCCAAAGGTTTACAGTAAGGGGTGACACTGACATGTTTTAACATTTGTTTTCCTAATACAGGAGACAGGAGAGTATAAATAAATGAAAAAAAAATGAGAGAACATGCGCAAACTAAAGTCAACCCAAAAAAAAAAATATTCACAATCTCATTTAATAATGCCAAAGATATGGTAAATTATAGCAACACCTAAACATCCACTGATATTTGCTTTAATCACTCAAGTACTTTGTTATTTCATATTAACATAAAGACTATCAGTTTCAAAAAGTATATATTAACAAAAAGATCCACTTATATTTTAAACTTACGACAATAACATCTCATAAGACGCTAAAAAGTATAATATTCAATATCAACACTATCCCTATTTCTATATTTTCCGGTTTTGACAAATTTATTATCAAATTTTATAAGCTAAATAAGTTGCTTTTATAAAAAAGATTGTGTACCAACAGACATTTGGTCCAATAATATTTCTTACTGTAAAATTTTGATCAAAGAACATATAAATTCTGCAAAGGACAAAAACAAAAAGAAAAGGCAAAACATCCCCATAGCCCTTATTACGTTTTATAGCAAAAATCCATTGAGTTGAAGGTAACTACAAGGAGCACCATAATCCACATATTCATTTATTAATTCTTTGAGCCAAAAACAATGTACATTGTGGGTGTTGATGTGGAAAAAATATTTGATGTAATGATTATATCACATCGCCTATTACATGATGTTATTATTTAATGTAGTAATTACCCTTTTTATGTAAGAAAACAACCACTTTAAGTTAAAAAAATGAAGTTCATCTTATCTAGTTATAAATTTATTATTAAATGGGAAAAGTCTACATTATTTTTTCGGTACTTTTTCTGTACCATACCGCCGAATACCATTTTTTATAATAAAGTTAGAACTTTGAAATGAGAAATTACAATTGTCCAAGAAATAACAATAATCAATCACAAACATTCAGGATTGATCATGAAATCTCGGTATCAATTTCAAACTTCTATGATCGATCATGCCTTTTAAAGATGTAACTTACAACTTACAAAAATTATAATTTAATCTTATAATAAAATAGTTAGTTTTGAACTTTTCGCAGCTAAAATTATTTGAAAATTATTGATTCAACGATTCTAATTTGACTTTTATTTCTTTTACAACTCTAAAACTCTTATTTTTTATATAACTCTCTCTCTCTCTCTCTCTCTCTCTCTCTATATATATATATATATCTCATACCCCCCTCTCTCTTAGCATTGTTAGTCTTAACAATCCTAATTGAACTTTCATTCTATTTCTCTCTCTCTCTCATACTCTCTCTCTTAACATTTTTTTGTCCTGCCAATCTTAATTGAACATCTTTACTCAAAACATTTGTGTGATTTTATAAATGAGAAAACATTTAAATGTTAAAAAAAATTTCTTAAGTTATAGACTTTCAAAACCAAGTTAATCACCATAAAAAATAACAAAAATTCAAAATCAAGTTAATTACCAATAAAAAAAAATAGCAAAGACAAATAAAAAAAAATAAAGTGAAATCAATTGCACAAAAAAAAATATTCAAAACTAATTATAATTTTTTTTATTTTGATTTTATTAATTTGATTTAATTGAAGTGTGAAAATATTTGTGTACCAGTCAAGAAGTCACAGTAATAAAGAATTTAAATCAATTATCCTTGTAGGTATAAGTAGATTCGCTGAGCAATGTTAGTTCAACTGAACTTTTTTTTTTTTTTTGAACATTTGATTTATAGTTCAATGTGGCTGATTCATTTGATTGGATTCAGTGATTTAATTGTATTCTTAATTATATTCTTTATTAAAACTAGACAACTTATTCATTAGATTTAACCAGATGTTGAAAAAATGAACACTCGTTTGATGGAGAGAAGAACAGCCATGAAGAAATATATGACATGATAATTTTATAATAGTACTAGTTTAAGTTCATAGAGATTATCAAATTGTATTAATGTAATACGATTCTTCTTCGTTTCAACTCTTAGACTTTTTTTATTTAAGACATTCTTAGACTCTCCATTTGTTTAACGAGTTTTTTATATTAAGAGTATTTTTTAAGTATGGGTAATGACTGGTAACATATTTGTGATAATTGTTGTATAGTATCAGCGATATCCTCGATGTTTATTCGTTGATGTGGAGTTCACTGAGCCTACCTGTCGTAGGTTTGGCCCATTCGTAAAGTGACAGGTTATGGGTTTATTTCTTCTACAAAATTACGATCACAATCCACAGTTTCCATGTTTTGGAACTTGTGGGCGGAAGAGGAACACTACCCACTATCCAGCACCATCCACCCTCTTATTACTATTACCGTCCCCGTCCCCTAGTAATGTTTTGGTTGATGGTTTTGTGCTGCTAGTTTTTTTTTACTTGTGTCCTTGTTTCTGTACAAGCAATAAGACAAATCTATCTTGTTGAAAAGCTACGAGTTACCGGATATTATCCTCATGTCTACAATGCTTGGGCAAGATATGATATGTGTATTGATTATTAACCCCCTCATGTTATGTATCCTTATCTAAATCATACCAATTCTCCATTTTTTACACAAAATCTAATTGTCACTGAAAATCAAATCAATTTCTATTAATCTTAGGATTTTTGGAACAAAAGTTAAGTACGTAATACCGTCTCCAAAATTCTCATTATAGAAAAGCTTCCTCCAATGTATTTATATCCCGGTTTGGTTACGACACCCGATTTTTTTTCAATTTTTTGGGTCTTTACATCACCTTAATTTTTTGAGTTTCTTTATCATTTTTTAGATAAAGGTTATCACTTTTTGGGGTGGTTAAACTTATTATGTCAAAGATATTTGCTATTTTTTGATATGATAACGGAAAATAAATTTCAATAGGGTAGTGTTTTCCCCTTATATCCAATCCAATGTCCATATTAGAAATCAAAATGACAATGAATCTAAATATCTCCGGCTCTTCGCCATAATAACATGCAGGCAAAAAGGACATAAAATGAAATAACACAAACAACCAGCCCTTGGGCCTCGATTGAGGTGGTTCAAGACACGTCCATAGCTATTTAAGTCTTTTCTTCTGTCAACTGCTCACGGCCCAACTCCAACATTTGTACTAACATTCCGTCAAGGGTATCATATTGTACTGTTTCTTACTGTCTCTATCTCCAGGATTTAACTACGGTACCGTTTAAAAAAATTTGGTATCATACCTACAAAATGGATTATTTTAAAGATTGTTTTTATAATTTTTATAGGTTATTTTAAAATTAAAATATTTATTATTTTTGTGGCTAATTTACCATTTTTGTGAATTTTTTATCACATTGTGGGTTTTTTTTATCACCATTGTGGATATTTATATCATATTTGTGATAACTATTTTTATTACTTTTATTAGGTACAAAAATAATTATTACATTTATGTGTGCTTTTATCATATTTTTTATAATTATTTTATCACTTTTTTTAGTACTACAATCATGACAAAAATACCAATAAATATAATAAAAATACATATACAAATTTATCTACTAATCCGAAAGGACAGCCCGTCACCACAGTACCATTAAAGTTAAGCAGCAAACCGTATTGCTCCCTTAAATTAAATCTTATTTAATAACCACATAAAAGTTAATGATGACTCTAAATACGTACAGTTCACTGCTAGATCACCGGTTCAGATGGTAATATATAATCTGCTTATTGGTGTCCTACACAAACATAAATTGAAACTATGCCCAAATTATTTTTTTGTTTTTGATAAATATCTACAGAAATTTTTTGACATCAGTTGCATATATTTTCACCTCCCTAATGTTAAGATTCATCTTCATATTGGGTCAGATAAGTTTCACACTAATTCCTCTCTATTCTCTCTCTCTATACCAACCTTTGAACCCACAACCGGCTGGTTGGAATTTGAGGTCCACACCCAATGAACTAGAAGGAAGGCCGGTGCATTATGACGGTGGTTCTCACTGTCTAATGTAATGATTCTCTTTTATTTAAACTTAAAATGGACTATGCAAAGGATAGGCATAATATTTGATGATGCACAAATTGGTATTGTGTAAAATTAACAGTCAAATATATGTAAGGGTACAATTACTGAGCAATAAATAAATAATTAATGGCAAAATAGTAAATAAGAGCAAAACATGTAGATTTATAATGGTTCGGTCTGAATGACCTACTCCACTCTGAGAAAACGACAGTGATGGCCAGAAGTATTTTATTGATAAATAAGTAGCGGGAGAATATGCTCCGAAAGTATTATAATGCTTTAGAAGAGAGAAATTAAGGAGGTGTAGAGAGGACAAAAAATAAAGATCTCAATGTGATGAGATCTTAAGGTTCATAGGTTATGCCCTCTATGTGGAGAAAACTTATATTATATAAGTATGGTGAGGCGGGGACATGAGGTGGTCACTACTATTTTGGTAAGTATAATTAAGGTAGGATTAGATCCTCATGCGTATTCTGATATTTCCTTATCGCGCTCCTATTCCGTCGGGAGGAGAATCCTGAGCTAGATTAGACTTGAATTGAAATGACAAAGTGAAGAAGACGTAGAAGAGATAGGAGGGCCAACCCCTTGGGCGGCGCCTCTTGGTGTCTCCTTTGGACGGCGCCACTTTGAGTGTCTCCTTTTGGGCTCCGGTGACTTCGCTCTTTCTTGATTTATTGGGTTTGACTCATTTGATTTCCGGCTCATCAATATTAGTTGAATTCATAGTTTTTTGTATACTGTACACGGCCACCATTCCAATTCACAATATCCAGGACATCATTAATGGCCTTTACATTAGGTTATAGGCTCCCATCATCCTGCAATTCCATCTCATCTCTCACGTGTGTGGGGTCTTGAAAACAACGCTCCACATGACAACTCAATTTCCTCGTGACCTTTATCTCTACTGCTTCACCAATCCTTGCACCCCCCCCCCCTCCCTTCGATAAAACAACCCATGGTTTCATCCATGGCGCCACTTATATGCATCTGCAAATCCACAATATAATAGTTATGAATCCTCTGTGACATAGCAGCTCTTGCACAGTCAATGGAGGTCACCAAGGAATTAAATGAGAAGCAGATGAAGAAGAAGAAGACGAAGAAAAGTATGCAGAACTGGAGTAACAGAATTAGCTTTTCAGCTAGCTTGCCTGATGATGTTTGTGGGGTATTTGCTGATAGTATGTGCGCAGTTAAATACTCGACAGACCCATTCTCGGATATAAGAGAATCGATATTAGAGATGATCCACATTGTGGGAGTTCAAGATTGGAATGACATAGAGGAGTTAGTTTACTGTTACATCGTTCTCAACTCACCGGAGATTCACCAATTTATTGCAGAGGCTTTTCTTAGTTTGTGTTGCTCTGTTGAGCAAATTTGAACTTGTAGTACTCTGTTGTTGTATCATATATGTCATCCACAACTTCTATTCAGACTTGTTACTTTCATTTCTCAGTGGTTCTTCCCTTTGCCCCTGCAGTCCATTTTGCAGCAACTTCATGGAAAGAAAAACAATTGCATGATTTTCTCTTCACCTTAGGAACATTTTGTTAGAGATCATTTCCTTAGAATTTCTTAGACTAAATCAACAGGGAATAGCTCTACTAACTGCAATTCAGAGTTGGTCAACCCTTGGTGTTGGACCTTTATTAACGACATAAGAACGACACAAAATGAATCTCTTTTGAAAGTAATAAAGCTTGCAAGATAGACCAGTCTAAGCGGCATCCTCCCATATGCATTGAGTTAATAACCTCATGCAACGTCTCCATCATCATCATCATCATCACCTGACACCATCCTGCTTAGTTGGCCAGCAGCTATCCTCCAATTTTAGCCAATGTACTGCAATTTTCAGGGTCGAATATGGGGGTCTCATAAGTCACAACCCTCGAGAAAGGCCTCTCTTATTGGTGTCTGAAGAAAAATTGAAATCCATCCAATTAGAATAGTTTCTGCTTGGGTCATCAAACCTAGAAGGACAAACGGTTTGAGTAGTACCCAAATGCTGCTGCACCCAAGGACAGGACGGCAAACGAAAAGGGCTGCTTCTAACACTAAGCCCGACTGAAAGGATCGCCCTGAGATATTACTTGTTCAGCTATGTCACTTGGCAATTTTCAGATCTGTAGTCTCAGAAAGCCTATTATGTATGAACCCCACACCATCACTTTAACGAACTCTGGCAGTTAACCAAACGCCAAGGTCTGGGATATCATTGCCAGAATATTCTAGTCGGACTATCGAAACACATGAACTAGCCTAGATATTAACAAAGCATATACTTAACATCAGCATTAGCCATGTATAAGTTCCCTTACGAGCTCTCATATGATTATGGACTCCTCCAAATACCACTTGCATTACCACCACAGGAAGATGCCTTCTACACAAATTTCCCCTACACAAGCTACCGAACAAATCATCAAAACACTCTCAGATCAAGGCAGCATAGAATTATGTAGAAAAGCTTAATGTTTTATAGCATTTCAATGTTTTTACCATATATATTATTGAAAATCAGCTACTTATATACATGTCTCAGTTTCAAGAAATGATCAAAGTTAGTTTCAGAGAAAACTAACAATATGCAACACTGTACCTATTCTCACATCTTTTCTATACTCATTCACCAACATATGCTACTAAACAAAATTCAGCTTCAGTACCAAAACAATAAGACCTATTATTTTGCGCTGGATAAATTCCCTGACAAGCTTCTTTGATATTCCATTTAGGTCCCCCAGCCAAATCTGCCAACTGTATGTCAAGCTAAAATGCCATATTACTTTTTTCAGTTTGAAATTGAAAAAACAATTCACAATTGTATGAATGGCAAGGAAATTTTTATCAAAATTTACTGCGTCGAGCATGTTTACAAACCAGAGACAGGCTCGCCACTTTTCCTTTGGTCTTTATAGCACTTTCCATGAGTAATTTTTAGTCAAGTTCCTGAAGGCATCTTTCATAAATAAACTACATATATACAGGTGACTAATTAAGTTTGATAGGTTAACTGGAAAAATAGAAGCCAAAGCAATCAGTCACCACCATGACTTCACACAACCAACTGCTACCAGTGTGAATTCACAAAATGAATTGCACGAAATTCCTAAATTCTTTTTCTTTGTTCAACTTGGCTTTTTGGCCTAGTCACTTATAGTTAGCTCCATGAGACTCGGTCGATAACATCTCCATGCACATCAAGAATATGTAAAATATGTTGAAGCAATTTATCTTCTTTGTCAGCATTTCCCACCAGACAAGAGAGCACATTGCCTTGCACACATTTCAAAAGACTAGTGGAACCCTTCCATCAATATGTGCTTAAATATTTTGAACCGAAGCCATCTGTAAAGAAAGGCATCATTAGACCGCAGTTCATGAACTATATCCAACTGCAACCAGGTATCTTTCTAATCCCCCTCTCACTCATTTTGCTCCTCAAAAGAGAAACATCTAACCACTGATCTGCAGCTGCGTAGATGTTGGATAGCACCACATAGTTACCAGCATTGTGAGGCTCAAGCTCAAAAAGTCGACGCGCTACCTCCTCCCCTAATTCAATGTCGCAGTGCAGCTTACAGGCCCCAAGAAGTGCACCCCAGGCACCAGCATGAGGTTCAATAGGGATTGATTTTATAAGCTCATAAGCTACTTTTAGCTTTCCTGAACGGCCAAGAAGATCGACCATACATGCATAGTGATCAGGAGAAGGAACTAAAGAGTAATCGTTCACCATGGAATCAAAGAAACACAAACCCTCCTCAACAAGGCCTGCATGACTACAAGCTGTGAGGATGACGGTGAAGGCTACATCATCAGGAATGAGCCCCTCATTAAGCATCCTACTGAAGAGACCAACAGCCTGAGCACCACGGCTGTGAATAGACAGCCCTTGTATCATAGAACAATAAGAAATTAAGTCCCGTCTGGGCATTTCCTCAAATAACATTGCTGCTCTCTCCATGCTCCCACACTTTGCATTCATGTCAATAAGAGCTGCAGCAACATGAGCGCGAGAAAGATCAAATGAGCTTTGGATTAAATAAGAATCAACCCACTTAGCCAGTTCCAAATTACCAACTTGGGAGCAAGCTGACATTAAGCTCGTCACTATAAATTCGTCAGGCTTGATATTCATAGACAGCATTTCAAAAAAAATGTTCAATGCTTCATTAGGTCGTCCATTCTGTGCATACCCTGATATTAATGCAGACCAAGAAAAAATATCCTTCTCTGGGGACTCGTCAAACAACAACCTGGCAGACGCCATGTCACCTGTCTTTGCATAACCATCAATCATCGTCGTGAAAGAAACCACATTCCTTTCAGGCATTTCATAAAACAGTTTTCTAGCCCTCCTTAGATCACCAAATCTAACAAATCCACTGATCATAGCATTCCATGACGCAAGATTTCTTTGGGGCATTTCATCAAACAATTTATTCGCTTCAAATAAATTGCCAATGTTGACATACCCAAAAATCATAGCAGTCCAAGAAACCTCATTTCTAACAGACATGCCATCAAACACCTTACGAGCACACTCAATCACTCTACACTTGCCATAAAAATCAATTAAACTCGACCCAACAAACACATCACGGTCGGTCCCATACCTCACTATCAACCCATGAACAGTCTGACCTTCTCTTAATGCCAACACATTAGAACAAGCTTTAATCAAAGAAGGAAACGTATATTTATCAGGAACAACTTCCAAACTTTGTTTCATACGCTTTAAAACTGAAAGTGACTCGGCCAGAGAGGAGTATTCACAATATCCTTTGATGAGCGTGTTCCAGAGATAGATATTGGGTCGGATGACGCGGTCGAAGACGCTAGTGGCGTAAGCAATGTTCGGCGACAGAGAGTTGCAGAGAGAGATGAATTGGGTAATCAAAAAGTGGTCTTGCTCAGATCCTTTATGGATGATTCGGGTATGGACTTGTTCAAGGTTCCGAATGGTTTTGCAAGCTCTCAGTAGAGTTAAGATTGAGTGAGACAATAAAGACGGCGGTAAGGAAGACGAAAGTGACTCGTAGACGGTTGAGCAACGGCTGATCAAAGTCATATGAGGGTAAGAGAAAGTGGGTGGCGATCACTGGGCATCGCTCTGTGTTTCAGGCAAAGGTTGAGATGGCTTGCGTTTGACTGACCATTTACTAGCGGTCAGCTGGCAATTATACACGAGTTACACAAGTGAAGTCGGGCTTAGTGATAATGGAAGTGAAATCGGGTTTTTGTTCGTGGATTCATCAAATAAATAAATAAATTGATACAAATCTCAGTAAATACGTACAAATCCGATTAAATGTGATTGTATATGCCATATGAATTTAATTAAAAAATTATATATAAAAAATCATGTGACTCAATAAAACTTTTTCATTGAATTCACTTTAAAAAATGCAATCAACATTACGCTTGGATAGATAATATTTTCTAAAAACGATAACAGTAATACAAGAAATTACCAAATAGCTCTTTCAGCATAACACAATTCTTCTTGTAAGAGGGTTGGTTTGCTCCGTTGATTGCTAAACTACTTTTCTTTTAGAAAATCTACCTCCGACAAGATAGGATGACACCAAAAAACCGTATAGTGTAGGAGCACTCACATTTGTTGGTTTACTCTTTCAATTGAATTTTCAAATCCGGCTCACTTCTAACTACGTGTCCTTTGGACCTTTTGCCCGCTTAAAAGTGAATTTGAACTACGGACATAAAGATTTTTAATCCTTTGTTCTAACTTCTAACTAGAGTTACCTGAACCACTTTCCTAAGTATTAATGTAGGAATCTAATCAATTATAACTGTTTGAATTAACATTTAACATCATAATTTACAACTAATCTAATGTATGTATTAAGTTTTTCCACCATTTTTTTCCCTCTAGAGTTTTCATAGCATTAGACAATAAGCAACTATCATGACCTATGCATTTTTTCAAATATTCTGGGAGTGACCACAGAAACTTTTGATTAAAAACCAACATTGGCATTGCAATACTATAAACGTCCAAGAACACAATAACAATAATAATTCTGATATCATTGTTTATAGTACAAACTAATTTATGATTAGGCTGCAGATTACTGTGATTTTAGTGTTTCCCTTTGGTTTTTATCAGAATCTCCAACTTGATCATTGCTACTAATAGAAGCAGTGGGAACCATTCTGGCAGCTGACTGCAACCCGGCCGGTTCAGGAACTGTCATATCTGCATCAGCTGATTCAACTGCTATTGTCGGTAGAGACTTGCTTGTGGACTCTCTGCTCCTCCCCCACAAGAAGGAATATAACCCTCCTATGATCAGAGCCATGCCCAGTATACTGCAATGGCATTGTATTCGTATTAAAAGTCGGCAAAACTTATCAGCAATATGTACTGAAGACCAACAATGGATTAATATTCAAGCAATTTAACACATATATACCTTCCAATTGTGATCCCTTCACCAAGGAAGATAGCTTTAAAAACTGCCACAAAAATCAGTGACAATGGATTGAATATGGAGGGATATGTTGGGCCTCGTTTGGCAATTTCCCATGAGATTAAGCAGAAAGATACTGCTGTGGCCAATGCTCCCTGCACCAATTAACCATAGTTCATATGTTTGGATAACAACGCGTAGCCTTATATTAATCCCGGGCTGTTACTAAACTTACCGAGTAAACTATGGTTATTAGTTGCAGATTCCATCTTAACCTCCACGCAGCCATCGAGTGATCGAGGCATAACCCTACTGCCGCTTGTTGCAATGATGCTATAAGGCATGTTACTGTTGTTGCCATGTATTTATATGGGAAAACTTTGAACAACTTAGACTGTCGAGAGATATAAACCGAAATCACTTCATTAAATCAAGAGCTTCTGAATTGATTGGCCTTAATAAGTGAAGCTGAATATAAAGCTATCAGTTCAAATCATGCAGTTCTCAGTGCAAAAGAGGGAAAGGGTTACTTACCTGCAAGTTGAACCATGCGCCATACGAGAGGATGCTACCGACCAGAAACAAGGTACCGCGTGTCCAATTGGGCTTACTTTTCTTGATAATTGAATGATGCTGAATACTATGATGTCTAAAATGGAAGGATTTACCCTTGTAGAGAGTAATGGTCAGTGCTCCTGCTAGGCATAAGGTTGCTCCTACAGCTTTTATTTTGCCTGCCCTTGTGTGAAGTCCCAGTTTCTCTATTCTATAATCATTTTGGCAGAAAATAATTAAAATGGCTAATGCAGTAAAAATTTGTTGAATTCCGAGTGAAAAAAGAATGAAAAAAATTGTTATCAGATCATGCATGCATTCAGAAAAGATAAAAGATGTAGATAAAACGCAAGGGTTGTTGTTTATATTATGGTAAGTTTGAGCTTAATTATGCTTATTACCCAAGTACAGTGGAGAAGACAAAGGTAACGATGGGAATGAGATTGAGGAAGTTGGTGACATATGTTGCTGTTGCGTCTTGTAGGCCATAGTAAAACAACCCCATAGCCATTGATATCCAACATTACATACGAGATCAATGAGAGAAAGAATGTGTTAAATCTGTTGAAATATAAATACTTAAGTTATATACTTTCAAGTAGTTTAAGTTTTTAGAGTAGATAATTTTAACATGATATCAGAACGAAGAAATCTTGTATTTGAATCTCGCCATCTAAAAAATTTCAACGTCTACATGCCAGATACGCCCTCTCAAACAATTTAAGTAGATGGTTGTTTAACAAAACTAACCACGGACACTGTCACCCACTTATTGAACAATTACATGGTATGTTTATTTTTTTATTAAAATAAATGTGAATTAGTTAACAAAGATAATAAAAAATTTAAATTTAAAATAATTTTAAAAGATGATAAGATTACTAGTTACATAAGTCACATGAAAGTATTTAATTGAATGAAATCGACGCATTTTTATTAAATTAGTCATTGCCCACATGCATTGTACATGGATTTTATGAATGAAATATTAGACAAAGTGGTGGACCACCCTTTCTGAAATTCACAACTATAATAAACATCAATGATTACAACAATCAAAAATCTTGTTATGTAAGAAACCCCCTAAAAAGAAAGACAAAATCATGATATCATGTTCGTGAAAATTGAAACACAAAATTAAGAAAGACCCATTACTCAAAACCAATGACAACCTTAGATGCCATTTTAGAAGATATTTGACATTTGATATCAGTTTTCATTGTGTACAAGCGTCACGTATGCCAGATTGGTAATGGGATCATCAAAGAAATCAGTAAGTGAGACATGCTAGATTTGTTTACTCTTTTGATATATGGAAGGACTATGCACCTGATTTTATCATACTCCTCCAAGATGATCTCTTGATGATGAAATTTCTACCGTTTTTGTCCAAAAAATAATAATAACTGGCCCTTAAAATCTAGTATAAAAATACACAAAAAACCATTCAATTGCTAGAATGATTATAGGATGAAGGAAAGCATCTATTCCATACGGTATTCTTCTAATTTTCCTTAATGCTGGTTAAAGAGAACGCTAGTATATGTTGGCTGTTGAGACTTGAAAACTTCAAAGTTATTGTTTTGCAACCATGCATCTATAGGTGAGGGTGTCAGAGATTATCTTTAATTATTACAAAAACCTAAATCACGAGAACTATACCACTTGAAATAAAATTTCAAGACACAAGAGCCAATACACAAGTCAATCCTTGCTCATAAGTTTTTCCAATGTCTGCTATCGCAGCTTTAGTTTGGGATTGTTTAGTAATTCTTTCTTTAAACAATTTTTAGAACTGTTGCTACAAGCACAACATGAAAGAATAAGATTCTAGAAAAATTCATAGACGAACAAAACTTTTGCGTGAAACTGATCAAACTAAAAGCATAAGCACACTTTCATATTGTTAGTTCATGAGTTCCATGATTAGATGTGAAGTCTCTAAAGAAGGAAAAAAAATAAAAAAAAAATAAAAAAGAGATCCAACTCTCCAACGTAGTCCCACGACCAAAATCATTAGGATTATTTTCGTCAAGGGTTCAAGTGCTCCCTCCTCTCTCCCTTCCCAAAAAAAAAAAAAAAATTTTTAAAAAAATAGTAGTAGAGATAATATAAAATTATGAGAAATTAGCATTTGAGAAGAGAAGACTTCTTAAGTACTCTCTCCTAAATTAATTGTTGCTATAGTATATAGTATAGATATTAAATGATAAGAATAAAACGAGACTTACCCGGTTAATGCAATCAGGAAGAGCTAGAACAAAACTGACCAACTCAACTTCTTCACACTCCCTCTGTAATTGGCAAAGCATTTGAAAAACCTTATTAAGATCTAAATCATACATCCATAGCTACCCCCATTGAATATACTAATGATCAAGAACAAAATATATTAAACAAAGAAGTGTTTGAGATTGAGATTGATCGAACCTTTCCCAGTAAAGAGCGAAAGGAGCAACGCAAAAAAAGCCCAGAACATGACGATAAGCCATGAGAGCGAAAACGAAGGTGCCCTGACTCAGTATAACCCTAGATAGCAGTTGGAGACCTGTGGCGATCACTTGTACCATTAACATCCCCACCGCAACTCGAGACTCTTCAATCCACTTCATTACCTTCTTCTCTCTCTCTCTCTCATCTCTCTCTCCAATGCCCACGTAGTTTCAATATAGTCGAGGGCCGAGAAACTGGTTCCCAGTGGGCATTGGCAAAGAATGAGAGACAGTGGATCAAGGCTGAGCCAAAATCGATCACGCTATACATAATATTTATATTTACTATATCACGTTTTATACATGAATTCCATTTAATATAAAAAAGCCAATAAATAATGCATATTGAATATGTGCAAAAAATGAATAATTAAAAATGGAGCTAATTGTTATTTTTATAATTAAAAAATATAAGTTATTCACTGACAAACTATTAAATTTATTTAATAAATGATGTTCAAAACACACTTATATATTAAAATAATAAAATTATTAAACTAAAGTTTAAGATTTAAACATAATAAAAAATTTTAAAATCGATTGACCCATAGTAAAAACTATAATCAATACTTATATAAAAATAGTGGCGATTTCTTGTAAAAAAAAAAAAGTCAAATGAATGTCAATTACAAGAAATTTCACTTTCAAAATTTCATAAATAATAAAATTAAAGTCATTTAGAGAAAACCTTAATAAAATAAAAAATTTGTTTCATTGTTCTATTTGCCTTTACAATATTGCTCAACATTATTTATATGATTACAAGTATTGCAGGAAAATCTAAAACTTCAAAACATATTTATAAAAAACTAAGATATGATACACCATGATCAATGATCAACTAGCAACTCAATCGGTTAAAATATTGAATCGATACCAAATTTCAACAATTTGGAATCCATCCCCAAGTTTTGGAGATCAATTCTATTAAGTCGCAACTCGATCTATTTAAGTCACAACTCGATTAATTTGAGTCGCAATTTAACATAATTAAGTTTTAATTTTTTATACGATACTTAGATTTAAACAATATGAGCCCAGAGTGTTTTTTAGTTTTATGTGAGTTTGGTTTTTTAATTTTTTTTTTGTGTGGAGTTGGTAGGCCTAACATTTTTGTCTTTAGTTTTAGGTAGGCACAAGTGACATATTATACAAGTATATAATATATATACCTAAATAATAATAAAAAAAAAATTAAGGGAGCACTTGCCCACCTTGAACCATACATAGCTCCGCCTATTCAGTGGATTGAGAAAAACTAAGAGTGCATGAATGAGTTTATTTGACACTCATCATCATTATGTGTCGTGTTTGTTTCATGTTTGTACCTAATGGGACCATGTGTACTCGTCTAATGTTATTGATTGTGGCTAGAAAAATCTAAGTTGGGTATAAGGTCGTGTTGTGTTTTAAAAGTTTTAGTTGAGCATTTATTAGATAAATTTTATTATTAAATGGGTATGTTTGGATAACAGAGTTGGCGTGAATTGAATACCTAAAAATATATAATTTTTTATTTAATTCAAACTCATATAATATAAATTGGAACTCATTTCCTCTGTTCGGATAAATTATACATTTTGTGAGACCCATAGATAAGAGTGATAAAATTTATTTTCCTCGACTAATATATTCCTATCATATCCAATTCACCATCATATTTGATTTATAAATTAGCATCTACCTCATTCCAAACAAACAAAAAATGTGTTTGCATCTTTTTTTTTAAAACAAGTTCATGCATAATGAAAAAATAAGTTCCTTCCTTCGGCCTTACCTGACCAGCGAAGACACATCAACTATTTTAATTGTGAAAATTAACAATTGATCCACAGGAGTTACTACGATCTTAACTGTTCATTAAATGAATCGCAATTCTATCACGTGATTATATGTAGATTGGCTTGATAAAAAAAACAGATTATTTATAGAATGGAGTTTTTAAAAATAAGAAAGTATGAACCCGTATCAGGCCTAAGAGATCCAATGTAGGAGAAGTAAGAATCAAAATATCGTTTCGAAACGTCCGAAATATTTTCGTTTTCAAGGAGATCGAAACGAAACAGTGATAAAATCAAAATTCTGATATTTCGAGATATTTCATAATATTTTTAAATATATTATACTATTTCAATACATTTGCACAATTATTTTAGAATGTTTTAAGATATTTCAAAATACTTTGATATATTTTTATCAATGTTTTAGAAAAATAATTCTTAAATTTTTTATTTTTTTCATTATGTTTTCGCAACAGGTCGAAACGTTTTTATTTTTTAGGTGATCGAAACAATACACCAAAACAATATTTTGATCATTGAAGAGGAGTTCGTTGCTTCAAGAGTCCCGTTTTGAAATGCAAATTGTATATTATCGTAAATATAGGCCACGGACTTGTTATGAATGAATATTCCCGTTTCCAGATTTCTGTTTTGCAAGCCATTTCCCTTGTTTTCCATCATTGGTGGAGTGATTTCAGCAATTCTTGTACTGCTTAAATTGTATTAATCACTAAAAGGCCCTCCTACTTTTAATCAAATTCAAATAAAGATTGTAATCTGGCCTTTATTTATTTATTTTTAGTTATAGAGCGTTCAAACTTGTATCGATTACTCTTTTGAATTCAGTGACTGTCACTGTGATTTAAGCTGAGTAAGAGCAAGAGTGATTTACCTTTAAAATATGTAGAAAAGAATTGAACTTAAAGAACACTAATCTAACTTTTATCAAAATGAGGGAAAACTCGTTAAACAAATATGTGATTCACAATCAACTTATAATAGTGCTTACTCCAAAAGAAAGTAGGGGTACCATGGATTTGAAATGTACGCAAGGTGGATAATTAAATCAAACAAAAATTAATAAGATAAGAGTAATGCTAGACTAGCATGCAATGCTTGAGATTTATAATTAGTTATCTTTTATTTTTATTTTTGGTCATTTTCTTTGTTTTACTCGTATCACTTGAAAAAGTAAAATAAAGAATTATTAGAAGTTATTGTGTAATGAAATAAATTTTTTAGATAAATTTAAATAAATAGTAGATAATTAGCGAGATAGTAGATGGATAATTATAAGGACTAATCTCTTCCAATTGCATTTTATTTGATACCAGTGATTTGAATCACTTTTATCATTATCTTCTCTAAAGGGTTATACCATTATATAAAATTATAAGCAAATGAATCATCACTAGAAGTTTATCTTCGAGTCAATCCAAGCCATATGTTATCAGATTCAGGTCATTAATTAAATAACCTCTTACTCAAAAGACGAACAATCAATAGTATAAAACGTCTGATAATTCAAGTGGTAATCGAGATGAATTATAAACTTAAAAACACGGGCAGCTCAACATATTATTATATTTTATAATAATATAATTAATTGTCAACAATTAAATTATTTAATTTTTTAGTTTTTCTTTTTTGAGATTCAAAATTATTAATTAAAATTTTAAATTCAAGTTTTATACATTAAAATTCAATTAACAAAAGTCGAATTCTCGACCAAATATAATTAAGTTAATTTTCTATTGAAGATAATGAGAAAGATAATGAAAATTTAAACTAACTAACAAATAATTTTTTTTAGAACAAATGTAAAAGTTAAAATTTGTGTAAGTTAAATGGTATTGGAATATGTAAAATATGTTTTAATATTATGGAGAACCAAAGAAATGTTTTTAACTGAGAAATTTTAGCAAGACAATTATGGTTATAATTAGTTTTAGATAGTGAGATAGTTCTACTCATTTTATTCTATAGTCATTTTTATATGCTTTAAAAAAATAATTAAGCAAAAACTTATCCTAAATTTGAAGTAACCTCAAATTTAATCTAAAAAAATATAAAGTTATAATTTACAACTATTAGTTCATAGACAATTAATTACAGTTTTTTTTTTTGATAATAAGATAGAAAAATATTTTATTAGGTGATAACACATATTTTTTGTATACCGTAAACATTGGACAAAGATAAAACAAATTAACTCAAACTTTAGGGGCCTAAATATTTTTGTAAGAAATTCTAAAAATTTTACAATATTATTACTTGTATTTAATCTAGGGACCTAATTTTGACACTTAGTAAATTATGGTTATTTGATTTTTAGTAAACTTATTCAATGGTAGTTTTTCTTACTAATTTAATGGTCAAAATGCATTAAATTCTCAAATTAAACCTAAAAATTAAGTCTACTACAATTGTACAAAAATTAAATTTGGGGCCCCAAAATTTTTGTCCCTTGGCAATGGCTTTAATGGCCAAGTGCATGGGCGGCATTGCTTAAAAAGCATGAGTTCAAAATTTAAAAGTTTCTTGAGGTTAAGTCATGATTGATTTAACCTTAAGAATATTTTAATTTTGATGTAAATGATCTATCTTTGATCAAATTGGCAAAAAATTAGTCAAAATACGTGTAAATTGATTCGAACATCCTAACCGTTAGACTAAAAAAAAAACTAATTTTAGCAGTCAAGTTCAACTCAATCACAACAAAGTCGAGTATGAGTATAGTAAATCTCGACTTAAACAACATTCTTAGGGTTTGTTTGTTTTGTGTGTTTTTTTTTTTTTTTTGGGGGGGGGGGGGGGAATAGGCCATAGGACATCCAAATTTTATGTTTGTGTTCAATTTTCAGGCCTAAGTTATCAAATCCAACCCACAACTGGCCTAAAGATTGAATCCCATGAATATGAATTTTGTCAAATCGACGGAGAAGAGGGGTTCGGAACAAGATTAACGAGTTAAGGATGACAAAAGATAATTGTATCCCTTAAAACTTTCTCTATTTTATCTTACTTAAATGTTCCCATTTTTTAATATAAATTTTGTTATAGAAGTTAAAAGCTATCTTGGGTGACTTTGTTTCTAATTATATTTTATCAATATTTATGTTTTATTACATAAGTTAAGAACGAAAAAAAAAATCAAATATAATATCTATAATGACACAGGAAAATATACGTAAACAAATATGGATATGAATTGAATTGATCAAGGGACAACATAATCATTTATTAAGCAAATTATTATTAATAATTGTGATATATTCGTAAATTCTACATATGCATATATTGCATTCCAAACATGAGTATGAATTAGATTCAATATTGAATCTCATTTTTATACGGAGAGGCTTGAGTTTAGAAGGGTTTAAAGAAGTTAATCCACGTCCTCCTAAAAAATCCATCCAAGCTTTTACATTCTGGCCTGATGAAGGATGATAGCGGATCCAAAACACGGAGTTTGCCCATGTGTTTTGACCAGAGATCTAAAATACATAGTTGGGCCATAACCCATCTACTTGCCAGCACCGAGCCCATCTCATTTTGTTTTGGGGGGGGGGGGGGGGAAGAAAGCTAGGGCACATTTGGGTTTTAGGTTTGTGGGGGTGGCAAACAAGTATATAAACGCTTCGCTTCGCTAGGGTTTTGGCTGCTTCCCTACTTTTCCACAGAGAGAGAGAGAGAGCACGAAAGAAAGAGAGAAGATGAAGACGATCCTTTCATCGGAGACTATGGACATCCCAGATGGGATCAAGATCAAGGTGAAGGCAAAGATGATCGAAGTGGAGGGACCACGAGGCAAGCTCACTCGCAACTTCAAGCATCTCAATCTTGATTTCCAGCTCATAACCGACGAAGCCACCGGCAAGAAGAAGCTGAAGGTCGACGCTTGGTTCGGATCTCGAAAGACCACCGCCGCGATCCGTACTGCTCTCAGCCACGTCGAAAACCTAATCGCCGGCGTCACCAAGGGGTACCGTTACAAGATGCGTTTCGTCTACGCTCACTTCCCTATCAACGCTTCCATCACCAATGGAAATAAATCCATTGAGATCCGTAACTTCCTTGGCGAAAAGAAGGTCCTCGTATCTTACCCTGGCTTATATACACATTCTTGCACACATTTCCTTTTTTATTCTGGTACATCAAAACTCTTATTTCATTTCGAATGCATTATATTATATAAAATCCTGTATTTGATTGTCTTTTCGCGAATATGTTTTTATAGGGCAAATTGCTTATTTGTTCAGATGCTTCGGTGCAAATTGTTTTTTCCCGTAACGTCTGTGCAAAGTGTATGTCAATATCTTTTAAATTGTTGAGAGGTGGCTGTAGCTTATAATTCAGTTGTGGCTAGCGGCTGACTAGGATGCGAGAATTAAATGCCTTGCAACGTAGAGTTTACGTGGCACCCAACAGTTAATCTAGGATGTTTTTTGGGAGCAATGCCATAAGACCTAATTTGATAAGACCATTAGATTAATTGTGAGTTCTAATGGTAGATGAAATTCACTTTCAATCCAATTGTTGTATTTAATTAGGATTCCAATTTAAGTCTAAATAACATTTTCCCTTTTTTAGTATCCAAGTTTGATGGATGCCATTGTTGGTTAGTAACTAGTTGGTTTTGAGTACTACTCTGCGGTGGCTGTGGAGTTGGCTGGTTTTATTTGCCAATGGCTGTGCCAGATTTAATAACTTCTTATATGATGTATGCGATCGGCAAGCTATGTTTTTGTTTCCAACGAGGAAAAATTGGGGTTTGTGCATCGAGTGGAGAAGGAAACATGGTAGACTGAATTTGATGTCCCTCCCATGCCCTTGTCAACTTCCTATACAAACTCTGTTGTAAATAATATGAGGATTCATGGTGTTAACTATCTTTTTCCGAAGATAAAATCTAGGTGATGTGATTACTCTTTAGGCTATTTCCTGGTAGCCTGACATTACATTACGTATTCTTTAGCTCCAATGTCCTATAGGTTGATAGACATAGATAGCAATCTTACCAAATCACTGTTCTGGTTAGTGTTTTCATTTTCTTATTTCTTAGTTTGCTGATTGAACAGGTGAGGAAAGTGGATATGCTTGAAGGGGTTTCTGTTGTCCGGTCTGAGAAGGTCAAGGATGAATTGTTGCTTGAGGGGAATGATATTGAACTTGTGTCTCGGTCTTGTGCCCTGATAAACCAAGTACCTCTCTCTCTCTCTCTCTCTCTCTCATACACCTACACACCCAAAATTCTAATTCATCATTAATCACATTATTCTGTATTGAACTGCATCACTTTCACTTTCTGAATTGCTCTCTTTATCTTTTTGGCCAGAAATGTCATGTCAAGAACAAAGATATCCGGAAGTTCCTGGATGGTATTTATGTCAGTGAGAAGGGGAAAATAGCTGATGAAGAGTAATCCGTCAGAGAGTTGCATGATTGTTTCTTTTTTGGAGTAGTTGCCTTGGATTCCCATAGTTTATTTGGACCTCTGTTATGAACTTGTTTGAAGTTAAGTTTACAACTTTGTTGTATGAGACTACAGTTTTAAGACAGGCTGGTTAGGTTACCATCTTAAACATTTCCTTTGTTTTCCTTGAATCATTTGTGTCTTTGGCGGTGTTAAAACTTTTCTTGTGCCTTTCCTTTTGCTGGTAAATGTGTATGAGGGACCCGACTTGGAAGTGTCGAGGTTTCAAATTTATCCCCACCTTGTTGAAGACAACTTTGAAACTTGAACTTGGAAAAGGCTGATGTTCTGGTGAGTTAAGCCTGATTATGTTCAGTGGTGATTCCTTCCCGATGGTATGTATCATTGACTTAGTTGTTGTAAGTGCAATTACCTGAATGAGCTTGGTGGGCGATTCAAGCTGCGTACAATATTTCACCTCAAATTTATTTGAGAATGAATGTTAGATTGGTGAAAGGAATGTTTCTGAGAAAGTCGTGTTCTTGATCAAACTTGATGATGGTATTCGTATGTCACCTTTGTACTATTACTATGACCTTTGTTATTGCACGGAAGTTTTCCTGTAATGAATAGAAACAATGTTCCTCTCAACGATGAACTTGAAATAATAAATAGGTCAAAAAGGGGTTGGGAGAACATCTGATTTATCCCTTCTAAAGTTTAAGACAGTAAAAGTTTGTAGGTTTGAACACATTATTTTAGTTTTTTCTGTTTAGTTTGTGTACCTTTGTTATATTTTTTAGAGATATTTATACATGTACTAGTAATGAGTGTAAGGGTCTTGAGCCTCATCACGACATTAAGTGGTTTACACTTTTCTCCACGTGTAATGAGTGTTTTTCATTTAGATTTTTACGAGTATTCAATGCTTGGGTGATAGCGAAAGTGCTCGAGGGCATGCCCGAGCACTTATGGCTATCCCTGAGAATTTCAATTTTTCTGATCAGCATCTAACACTTATTTTTGAATGTTTAATACTTAGGATATATTGCCTTGGGGTTTGCCGAGGACACATGGTCGGCATAACGATCATTAATGCCTTTTAATTATGACTGTTAACTTGGAGTCTCGAGGATGCAGAGGTTCATTAATAACTTTGTCATAGTCGGTTAAATTCTAATTAATGAGATGTCATGTTTTCTTAAAGGGTTAATCTCATTTTGCACTTTGAAATATTGTTCGAATCTCAATTTGTACCCTCAAAGATAAAAGATTAAAAGATTTTAATTTACACCTTCAAAGATAGAAATTTGTATCAATATGTACCCTCAAAGATCAAAAATCTCAATTTGCACCCTCAAAGATAGAAATTTATATCAATGTGCACCCCAAAGATAAAAAATCTCAATTTGCACCCTCAAAGATAAAAATTTGTATCAATGTGCACCTAAAATTAAATTGATAAATTATACCTAGATCCCCTCATACTTGTCACTTAATCATTTAGACCTATTCACATTTAGAATACTACTCCTACATCTTATGACATTTGTGCACGTATAACACGTAACCATTTTCATTGATATCTATTAATATAACCGTTAAAAAATATAATTTTATCCTAATAAAAAATTATAATTTTATATTACCATTTATTTTATGGGTTCAATATATTCTAAAGTTCAAAATCTAGTTTACCATTTGAATGTCTAATAAAATATAAATATTTATATAATATTTTTCATATTAGCTTTTATATAAATATCTACATTTTATTAGACATTCAAATGGTAAGCTTGATTTGCAACTTTAGAGTATATCGAATCCACAAAATAAAAAGTAATATGAAATTATAATTTTTTATTAGGATAAAATCATATTTTTTAACGATTATATTAACAGATATCAACAAAAAGTGGTTATGTGTTTCACATGCACAAACGTCGTGAGATGTAAGGGGAATATTCTAAATGTGAAAGAGTTCAAATGATTAAGTGACAAACATGAGTGGATCTAAATATAATTTATCAATTTAATTTTAGGTGCACATTGATACAAATTTCTATCTTTGAGGGTGCAAATTGAGATTTTTTATCTTTGGGGATGCACATTGATACAAATTTCTATCTTTGAGGGTGCAAATTGAGATTTTTTTATCTTTGAGGGTGCAAATTGAGATTTGAACAATCTTTTAAGGTGCAAAATGAGATTAACCCTTTCTTAAATGTTGGTGCGTTTGTACACTCGGCTCCGCTGAGTCATTACTCTTCGGCGCCATCTCTCGATGTCTTTTTGAGTTCCATAACAGCTATACCTTTCCATGTGTTGATTTGGGGGCGCTGAGCCACCTAAAGTCCCGTTAACTGTTCTCAACCTTCATTCTTCTTGTGACGTGGGACAAGTGGCGCACATAGATTGGTGGCTTTCAGAGCACGCCAGGATGTTAGGGGCGTTTACTTGCACGTTTGACGCCACCTTTTTTAAATTTCTAAATGATGATTTGTCTCTTCGATTCCCACTCCCTCTGTAGGGTATAAATAAGAAATCATCTAATCATTTTCAAACTTTGCATCTTCGAACTTCCTCTCAGTAATCAGCTCCCAAGCACTTTTCCTTAATCTCCTGAGCGACCGTTCTCCCCGTTTCGAGCACCCCTTTTCTTTCCCAAACTTCTCCTTCATCTACTCTTTCTTCTCCTATATTTCTTCGAAAAACTCATTCATTGCTAGAATACATAGAACAATAGTTAGGGAACTTGCTAGGCCTAGGGACACTAATAGGTTGAGGAGAACAGAGGCAACAAAGTCCAATATTCAAGCCTTTAAGGAGAAGTACCATATTCCTGAGCCCATTTTTACCTTCCCCTTTAACCCTAATTTTCATAGGAATGACATAGGGAGTGTAAAGTTCAAGTCCTTCTACACCAAGTCCATTATGGAATGGGGAGTTACGTTCCCCCCATCCCCTCTTGTTGAAAATTCTGATGCATTTGAGGTTTTTCTCCCTTCATTGTGGTGTTAATTTCTTTAAAGTAGTCATGGGTGTAGTCGCCCTGAATACTCTGCTTGGGGTAAATCTGGGGGTAGACAAAATCCTGTTTTATTTCGACTTAAAATTAGTCATCGGGGGCAAGTACTACCTCTAGGTTGGGGACACCTCCATGTATCTGGTGACACACATACCGGATTCGGATAAGGGGTATGTTCAGAATCTAATCATGCTTGGCGGCAGTTGGGAGAAAGGAAACAGGTCCGAGTATGATGGATTATATTGCTCCAAAGTGCCGAGGGATCCAGGTGTGTATTGCACATACTTTGAAACTATTCAGCTCTTATTACTGTTCCTAACCTTTCTAGTTTCTCCTTGTAGAAGGATAAAAGGCCGACGTTGCTCAACCTTTGAAGTCCCAAATCGCGTTCGAGGACTTGATCAAAGTTTGGTCCTTTAATTTAGCCGACCCATTTGCTCGGACAACTCACGTATTGCTCGGCTACCACCCAACCTACACTAGGTTCTCACAGATTTCACCGCATTTTGATCCTTCTATCTAGGAAAACCGTTCTTTAGAAGAGGTAGAGGAGGACCTCGAAGCCAACCCAAACAAAGACACCGAGCGTATGCAGTCCCCAGACATGTTCAATTTTCCTCCAATCACCGCAGAATCCCTAGAAGCCGTCTTGGCGACGAGAAGGGCAAGGCTCTCAGGGGCTGGCGAGCCTTCTGGCACTACCATAACTGTCGTGCCTCCGTTTCCCCCACCATGCTGACAATCGCCGCCGCCACCAGCGTAACGTCAATAGGGCCCCTGAGATCCTGTGATCCCGCCAAGGGACCAGCCACCTCCAAGGCGTCAAGTGACCCCCTCGGATGAGCGGTAAAGGGAACGCTACAGCCGAGACCCTGAGTCACCTAACGAGCGTCGGGTGAAGCAATAACGTGACACCCTGGCGTCGAACGCGTGTCCCCCCCGAACACAGACAAGGAGGGGACAACCAAAGTTGGAGTCTGACTCCATCATCCACTCCCCTAACATTGCATTGGCCGTCAGCAGGAACCTCCACTTTGAGGCCGACATGGACGTGTTGTGGGATTATGGGGACAATAGGCTCTTGCAAGGAGTTATCCAGTATAATCTAGTGGTGAGTACGCCGACCGCTCTGATTCCTTTTTATTTCGATCAATTGGCCACTTCTGACTTTTATTCTTTCCTATCACGCCTGCCAGCAGATAGGGACAATTATCGACCGTTTTTGGGGGTACAAGTAGATGGTGAGGGACGCTAGGGCCGAATTGGCTCGAAAAGATGAGCACATTTGGGGGGTGGAGCAGACGATCGGTGACCAAACCAAACATATCACCGACCTAATCCGCAAGGCCGAGGCATCTAAAAGAATAAAGGAGGTCGAGCTCAGGGTTTGCGTTGCCGACGTGAAGCTGCAAGACGTCGAGTCCATCATCAATGCCTTGATTGCAAAAGTGGAGGCCTTGGAGGGGGAGAAGGTCAGGGAACTCGAGAAGACTTGGAAAGCATGTGAGGACCTGTACTGTAAGTGCCAAGATGATATGGTCCCGACCTTTGAAGATGGAAAGAAAAAGGCCTTCAAAGAAGGTTGGGATGCGGCCCTGCACGCTGCTGAGGTCGAAGTCAGCTCATCCCTATTTTTGATGCACAGTCTGCTCATGGAACCTAGAGTAAGGGTTGTTCTAGAAGAGTAGCAATAATCCGAGCCGACTTCAGGAGGACTAGCCAAAGGGGTGGGAGGGACCGAAGGCCAGAATGAACTGATTACACTCAATGATGGTTCTAAACAACACTCCTCCCCTCGACTCCCATCCCCTACTCCAGAGGGTCAGAGTGGCAATCTCCCTCTCCCCAACACCCCCATCATTCTTCCTGAGGAGCCTGACACTAAGCTTAATGCAATACTTGGTGTTGGGAGGTGTGGTGAGCTCGGCGGCGAAGAGGTTAGTGGGAACCCTGAAGAGCAAGCGAACCCCGAAGGCCCCAGGGACCCTTAGCCATTTTGATGTTGCTTTCTTTATTATTATTATTATTATTTTGTAACTTTCTCTTCTTTGTATGCTCCAGGGAACGCAAAGCCCCTTCTTTTTTAATCAATGAAACTTTCATTCCTTCAAGATCTTCTGGTATCTGTTAGTTTTGTTTCATTCTACTAAAATGTGTTATTGATCTTTGGGATTCTAAATCCATAGACTTGTCCCCCTTGGGGCTGAGCCCAAGCTCGAGGCACGTGTTAACTTTTTTGAGGGCAATACTCCAAGGGTGGAGTCCTATCCCCTTAGGGCTGACCCGAGGCTCATTAATTTTTTAGAGCGATGCTCCAAGCATGGAGTCTCATTTCGCTCGGGGTCGTGCCCCTAACGACCGAGCTCGAGGTTTGTGTTAATTTTTTAGAGCGATGCTCTAAAGATGGAGTCCTATTCCCCTCGAGGTCGTGCCTCTAACGGTCGAATTTGAGGCTCGTGTTAATTTTTAAGAGTAATGCTCTATGGAGTCTTATTCCCCTTAGAACCGTGCCCCTAATGACCAAGCCCGATGCTTGTGTTAATTTTTGAGAGCGATGCTCCT